TGCCCCAAGCTGTGCCCAAAATCCGATTTTAACCTTGTTTGTTGCTTCGTTTTTTGTTTTCTATAAACAAACCAAATAGAAATAAAAACTCAGTTGGGCAATACGAAACATGAGAACAACAACAATTCGCAGGCATGTGAGTGTGTGTGTGTGCAACAACAACAACAACAACAACAGACAGCGACAAGTTAAGAATTCGAAACAAGAAACGCAACTTAAGCTGCGTAGGTTTCTTAAGTAACTTCAAATGTTTTGATTAGACTTTAAACGACAACAACAACAACAACAACAGCAACGGCAACAACAAAAAAGCTGTGAATGCCAAATGGCAGACCAACTCGAACTCGCAGTCGAACTCACGAGTCGAAGTCCAAACACCCAAAGTCGAAACTCGAAGTCGAAGTCGAAGTCGAAGTCGAACTCATTTGCGCAGTCGCAGCCGCTGCCCGTTGAGTGTGGGTTGCCTCAACTTCTTGCGGAGAGACAGAGAGACAGAAAGAGACAGAAAGAGAGAGAGAGAGAGAGACGGTACGAATGGAGCATCGAGACATATGGTGACAAGGAGACAAGAGATCTGAGAACTGCGCACAACAAACCCAAAATTATAAATAAAAAAACTCCCGCCGTCCGTATTGTTTGTTTCTTTCTTAAAGAAGAAACCGAACAATATTTGCTCTAACCCAAAGGCCATGATACACTGTAAACAATTTCCAACTGACAATGAATGATGACAGTTGAAACTGGAACTGAACTAGTTCCCAATCGATTCACAGCTCCAATTCAGTTTCTCCCTTTGAGTGTATCTGTACCTGTATTTGTATCTGTATCTGTATCTGTATCTGTATCTGTATCTGTATCTGTATCTGTATCTGTATCTGTATCTGTATCTGTATCTGTATCTGTATCTGTTTCTGTATCGGTATTTGTATCTGTATTTGTATCTGTATCTGTATCTGTATCTGTATCTGTATTTGTATCTGTATCTGTATCTGTATCTGTATCTGTATCTGTATCTGTATCTGTATCTGTATCTGTATCTGTATCTGTATCTGTATCTGTATCGGTATTTGTATCTGTATCTGTATCTGTATCTGTATCTGTATCTGTATCTGTATCTGTATCTGTATCTGTATCTGTATCTGTATCTGTATCTGTATCTGTATCTGTATCTGTATCTGTATCTGTATCTGTATCTGTATCTGTATCTGTATCTGTATCTGTATCTGTATCTGTATCTGTATCTGTATCTGTATCTGTATCTGTATTTGTATCTGTATTTGTATCTGTCTAAATTTCTATGCGTTTCTATATCTGAATCTTCAACCGTATCTGCATCTATTAAGTATATCTCTATCTGCATATGTATCTGAGTCTTTTGGCTGTATCTGCGGCTCTTAGCTGTATTTGTATCTGCGTCTGTTCGCGTCTGTCTCGACTCTCTGTAACTGTCATTCGCGTTATCCGCGTGATAAATAATCGACTCGCTGCTTGGGTGGCAGCACTGATGTCTGGCAAAACTTGCTGTAGCCTTTTCAGAAATAAAATATATGCATGCCGAATAAGCCGAATAGCGAATACTCTAAAGGACTTTAAAGTCCTTAACCATCTATATAATGTCGTAAGTAAGTAAGTCGTAAATGTTAAATATTCAATTTAGATACCTCGATAATCCTCAGCTTGCTTCTATGATTGATACTGAACAAGATTGGCTTAGAAAATGTTCTAAATTTATGCATAGAATATATAGACGACTCTTTTAATGCTGTTCAGATATATGTATAAAGTTTGCTAGGAAATCTGTATTTACTATCAGAGAAGTCAGCTTATAGACGTTACATCTTTGCTCAACAAGTTTCAATAGTCTTCCTTAGGGTATGCGAAAACAAATGCAGCTTTTTGTAGGAGTTGTTAATGTTGTTCTAAATGCTGTTGTTGTTGTTGTTGCTGTTGCCGTTTCTAACTTCTTGAAGTGGCTTTCATTAAGCATAAGCGAACGTGTAAGTGCGGACTTGACCAAAAGATAAACGAGCTTCAAGGCGGCAAACTCAAGAGTTGCTTTTGTGTTATTGTTGTTGTTGTCGCTGCTGCTGCAGTTGTTGTTATTGTTGCTGTTGCTGTTGCCGTTCTGAGCCGTATTGGCTGGAACTTGTTGTTGTTGCTGTTGTTGCTGTTGGCCGTCTCGCTCGGTCGCAGCTGCGCATCTCAAACATTGTTTCTGTAGATGAAGCTGAAGCTGAAGCTGAAGCTGAAGTTGACTCTGCTGCTGTGGCTCTTGTTGTATCTTTGTATCTGTATCTTGAGCCGTTGCTCGGCTGTGTGCGAGAGACCCGCACTTGACCTTGAACTTGTACAGGTTTACTTTTGTTTTCTTTGGCCGTTTGGCCGTCTTTGGCCGCTCTTCAACTCTTGTGCGTTGCCTTTCTTTCGCTTTTATTTATTTATTTTTTTTTTTCGTTTTCAAGCTTTGTTTTTTTTTTTTTTTTTTTTTTGTGTTTTCTGCTGTGCGCGCGAACCTAATCAGGCTTAATGCCGTTGCCGTTGCCGTTGCCACTTTATCGAAGCGGGCAGGATTATGAGCGACACCCCGGACAAACGAGACAAAAAAAAAAAAAAAAGAAAAAGCCGAAGCAGAACGCGCTGAGACGAAACGTTTCCAAGAATCCTTTTTACAGCTTTCAACTTATGCAGAAAAGCCCATTCGATACGTACTTTTAATTTATATATGCAAAGATTTATGCGATTTATGAAAATGCCAGACACACACACACACACACGCACACACACACCTGTGGGGCATTTGTATCTTTGCTCAATCTGAATTCTCGAAACGCATTCCAATTGCTGCTCCATTCTCGAGAAAAACAAACTATATTTAGCCTTGTATTTCGTTGCTTTTTCAGTCTGAACTGAATCTGAATCTAATCTCCCATTTGAATCCTCGAATTCCTTTAGATTTGCATATTTTCTTCTAAGAATTCGAGCCAACGAAAATATCTATTTTAAACACTCTTGGAGGCCAAATGCATCTATATTTCAGCTTGTCGCACGGCGACCCTTAGCGACAAATGGGTTTTCAGAGCGCAACCAAAACATGATATTAGTATAAATGGGCTAGTGTTACGGCACTGCTGGAAATGCCAAAAGAATGCATGCATATATGGATGGGATGCACACTTGCCACACGCGAAGCGTGACAATTTTCCCCTCAGCGAATACGCCTTGGGCAGAGACTAGTATCTCTGGGAGCTAGAAGCTCAGCTGATAGATGGCTGACGATGAGATAGAGATAGACGGATAGATGGATGGATGACAGCAAGAGATGAGATTGAGATAAGATCTGCAGGGCCACTGGCCAGACCTAGGCCAAGTCTGTATTGAATCTCTGGCACTGGGCACCAGCCAAAGCAATTTCAAGTGCAGACACCGATGCAGATGCAGATACAATTGTAGATGCAGATGCAGATGCAGATACAGATACAGATAGATCTTTGACAAATGACAAGGCAAAGTGTGTAACTGGAACCAGGTCCAGAGCTGTGATACAATTGCCTCATATTGTATGACAGCTTGAGCAGTGAGTCAAAGTGCCCGACTAGGAGATACCCTGTGCAGCAGTAATAATAAATCCTGCAGGATATTAGACTACTCATTATTTTACAACTTTCATGCAAAACATGAATCGACCTTAGTTAACTCAGGCGCTTAAACTCTACGACTCTCTTTCTTTAAATCGATACTTATCGGTATCGAGCAACTTAACAATTTCAAGAGCTTACCTTTGCCAGCTAATATACCCTCTCTCTAACATTTGCAGTACGTATCACAACAGAGGCTTAGACAAGAACCAACTAAGACAACTGTAACAATAATAATAATAATATAAAGCATAAAAGAAAGATAAATAGACATCAAGAGTGTGTGACAGAGACAGAGACAGCGACAGCGACAGCGACTGAACGACAGATTGAGCTTGTGTTTTGAGATCCAAGATCCGAGACTTGAGACTAGCGACTTTTGTCTGGACATGGACATGAACATAATTGGCATTTTGTTGCATTATCCACAGATCTGTTGCTCAGCTGAGCGCTGCATCAGGTGAGAGTTATGCGCTGTTGTTAATTAACCATTTACGGCCTGATTGCAGCGACAGAGATAAAGCAAACAAAACTGACACAAAGATAGACAAACAGACAGACAAACGAACAGGCGGACAAATGAACAAGTGGACAGACATTGGAGAGAAGTGTAACGAGGTCAGTTTGTATATATGTATATATCTCACTCTAAGGTGTCGCACAGGCAGGCCATAGAGATGCCTCAAAGGTTCAAAGTCAAATGCTTTGTATTATCTTAGCCCTAGGAGTTGAGTAACAAGATAAATATATATACAAATACATGTATATGTTCATATGAATTGAATTAGTTTATGATATAAAATCAACGATTTAAGCTTTGCCTAATCGATATTAAGTGTGTCGATAATATGCCAGCTATCGATAAATAATAATAGAGATAGATATATAATTGCAGTAAATTGTCATTTATTGTTATGGATTATCGGTGTTTTTAGATTAACAAGGCAACCGATTAATCGATATCTACATTAGTTATCAATGTCTTTGGCAAATCAATATTACGCCAGTTATCGATCAATAATGGTAAAGATAAATTTAATATTGAAGTACATTTTCGTTTAGTGGTAAAAGATTCATCGATAGCCACATCTAATTATCGATGTCTTTAAATTTGTCAGCCCCACAATCTTTCGATTTTACCTAGACTCGTATAAGAAAAGTTTTCATAGTCTATCGATAAACGAACGATCGATCAATTAGATTAACTATAGGAGATGAAATTGGTCTTTCAGCTATTTGCTTTGAGTTGCACTCGAAACTTATTCAAAATGCATTAGTCAAGTGCTTAGTGTTAAAAATAAATCGATAGGTTGCCAAAATCGAAATCGATAAATTCATAAGAAATTCCCTGATTTCACTACTTACATTCTTTTCGATCGCTGTGGCCGTTGCACTTGCTGCACATGTCGTTGCCACTGCTTCAAACACACCTGCAAATAAAAAAGAAAACGAATTATTGTAACTGTAATATAAATTTATATACACTTATGTATATGTATATTTCTATATGCCTTTGTCTCTCTCTTTGTATAATACAGCGAAGACATTAATATGCAACACGCACTCGACAGACGATCAATCCAATTGATGTATGGATATCAACCGGAAAACTAACTCGACTGCAACTCAAAGTGCGGCACGACTTTTGTCTTCTTCGCTTTTGCATAGGGCTAAGGAAGGCGGGCGGGTCCGAATCACGATACACATTTCAGCAGACATACGTGTGTGTGTGTATGTGTGTGTGTGTGTGTTTAGTCGTAAATACATCTGAATAAGTACATTAACAGTTGGCAGCGAAACGGGTCAATCAACTGCCCAACTGCGTTGGGTGCACACATTTCATAGCTGTCCCCCCTCATTAGTCACCCGCCGCCCCGTCTCCGGCAACTGTCGAAAAGAGCAAAAGAAACAAAACCCGGTTGGTTGGCTTCCCCCTAGCCGGCTGTAGCTGCCCACCGGTTGGCCAAGTAGATAGCACGCACGTGATCTGCGGACCGAGCACACAGCGGCGAACGTACCAAATCTGAATGAAGAATTTATGAATGGAGTTGCCTCAATGCGTGAGCGAAATGAGTCGAGTGTGTGTGTGTGTGTGTGTGCGTGTATGTGTGTTGAGTGAATTGCGTGTGCTTGACATGCTGGCTGGAGGATTCATATGGTTAGCTAGGCCAGGCTAGGCTACACTAGGCGCAATCTGCGATACAAAGATACAAATGTATCTGCGAGATACAAATGTATCTTTTTTTTATTGTAGCATGCGCACGTGCTGCAGCAGGCGCATTGTAAGACGTTTATCGTTTATCGCAGCAATCGCACAATAACACAATTTGCCGATTGCATACACAGCTCTCTCTCCCTCTCTCCCTTTCTCCTTCTCTCTCTGCCTCTCTCTCTCTCTCTCTTTCGCTGTCTATTTATGTGCGGCATGCGAAATGGCTTTGCACTTTGTGGCATGCATATATTGTTGCAAGCAAAGGTTGGCTACTGTGCAAACTGCATCCGCAGTGGGATTTTTATAGATGTATCTGTAGCTGCAGCTGTATCTATATATATATATACGTATATATATGTGTCTATATCTGTATCTGTTTTGGCACGCATGTCTCGAGCTGCGACGCTCTGACGCATTGTCTGAGCGTGGCTCAACAACTTGAAATTGTGGCATAAACACGTTCTACAATTTCCGGCATGAGTGTTGGCGTTGTTGTTGTTGTTGTTGTTGCTGTCGATTGTTGTTGTTGCTGCTGTTGTTGCTGCTGCTGCTGTTGTTGTTGTTTATTAGTTTCATTGATCATCATCATTACGCGCACTAATGCGCCGGCTCGTTGCTGTCTGCCTCACCCCTCAGCCCGTACGCCTCACCCCTCACTGGCTGACAGGTAAGCAAGATAAAAACAACAACCCCAATTTGACCTCTTGGCCTAATTGTAAACGTTTTGATCTCACTACCATGATCGACACTTGCACTCGCACGCCGTTGCAGCTAATGAATTACAGTCTGAATCAACACTTGCCAAAATAGCATGATTTACGAGCTCTTACAATGGAAGATGGAAGCCACAACACTCGCACTTCATTCAGGTAAAACTTGGCAGACGTCAAAATCTCTATAAATTGAATACTCTATTTACATTCAACAACAGAATTGCGTAAGCAACAGCAATTGAAACAGGTAAATCTCTATCAGTTCGTTAAAAAAAGTGCAAAAGTTGAGTTGAGTTGAGAAACTCTCTATAGTATCTAAAATTACTATATTACTCTCTATATGGTATCTGAATTTATTATAGAAGATTATGTAAGATTTATATATTGTACTATCTGAAATTATTGTATTGGATCTCTATATAAGATCTATATATATATCTGAAATTATTGCAAATAAATTTTAATGCATTTTATTCAACAATAAGAAAGTGTCTATTGGATTTACGATTTTTTGAACTTATAATTCGCACATAAACAAAATCCTTTAAGCTACGATATTCGATTTGACATAAGTACTTTCTGATACGCTATCTATTTAAAGAAGATATCTATAATGTTGACAAGCATTACTTGAAATATTCGAATATCCGGAAGTACTTAAAAGCAATTTCCCTTAAGATATATGCACCTTTCTGTCGTATAGAATTCTCGATATAAACAAGGAATCTATGCCAAAGATAAATGAAAAAATTCTAGGAATCTTCATCGGGGCCATATATTAGCAGCAATCGAACAGGAAATTGTTGCTTTGGTCGTTTAAAGTTTGATTAAATGTTATTTATAGTTTATGGCGAAAAAAAAAATAAATAAAAATAAAAAACAACCAAAAAGAAGTATATTCCCACAGTGAAGCAATATATTTATAAATAACTGTTTAGCCTTGCCAAAGAGTCAAATTTTAAAGGTCTTTTACCCGCCGACATATGCTTGAGTCATTGATATATTTGTGTTGCTTTAGAACAATCAATTTGTGAGCGCGTCTTTATTTAGTGGCTTTATAATTTGGCAAGCAAAATGATTAGTGAAAATAGGGGGAGAAACCGCGAGTGAGAGAGAGAGAGAGAGAGAGAGAGAGAGAGAGAGAGAGAGAGAGGAAGATAGTGCCAGAGATAGGGTAAACTATGAGCCAGGGCCTACAATCTAGCTGCAAGATCTTAAACAGTTCGACCTTAGGCGACACACACCGAGTCGATCAAGTGGTCCGCGCGCTCAAATGATCGTAAATTAAATAAAAATAAAATAAGAAAAAAAAAAAAAAAAAAACAAAAAATTTACTTTCGATTTTAGTGGGGCCCCTGTCGAAGATGGGGAATCGTTTTAGTAATTAATTTATGACTCTTGAGGGCAATTACATTAAAGCATTTTTGTTTCATTGTTTTTCTGAATTGAAAGAAAGGGCCCAGCACAGCAGCGATCAAGTTTCAAGATCGTGCCAACTATTGAAGGACGCAATCATCTTCAATCATTAGCCAAAGACAGAGCATATATAACATCATTTGTGATAATGATCGGGCAATCAGAAAACAGTGTGAATGCCAAGCCGGCCAATGGCCAATGGCCAATGGCATGTCAAATGATCTGACCAAATGGCCTAGACAGCGCCTAGTTGACGATTGCCCAAAAAAAAGTAAATAGAAAAAACCAAAAAAAAAAAAAAAAAAAAAAAAAAACAAACTGGAAAACCCAAAACAAAGCCAAAGACCCCAGCGCACGCACTTCATTTGATTTAGGGGTCTTGGACGCGAGAAAAAAGTGTCCCACGAGAGGCCCACATAAAACATAATCAACATAATAAACATGCCAACGGCATTATAATGAACTTGTGCTTGAAACACGAAAGCGAACAACATACGAACATCAAACAAATTCACAGCCAATTTCAATTCCAATTCCAATTCCGATTCCAATTCCAAATCGAAGCCCAGCAGGCCATCCACAAGTCGCTGGTCAACTCGATTTGCTGCTTGCTTTGCCGAACGCATGGAACCAGCAATTAAAATCGCTTTTCGAAGGCTTTTCGATATAATGTTACACGCATAGAAAGTTTAATTTCTGCTTTGCTTTGCTTTGCTATTTGTTGGTTAATTCGAAATTCATTTATTGCATAAGATTCTGTACAACAACTCGCTGGGGCAAAAGTCTCGGCTAAAGAAAATCGAAGAGAGAGCTCAAAAGATACCTGAAACTCTTTTAGATATTTTATGGTTCTATGATGTTGCTTAGTTTTCTAATGATATATTTTTGTTTCATTAGACAACATCAATTCGATCTATCTAGTTTTCTATGATCAGTTGATTTTCAATCATATATATATTTAATAAAAGATCATAATCTATTAGTCTGTTCTAGAGATTTCTGTTGATCCCAAGCTGAGATCTACTTTTAATGTCTTCATTTATCCAGATCAGTTGACTATATAATATTAACTGGATAATTTACTACATAGAAATACTCTTGACACGATAACCGATTACACTCATAATTAGATAATCATAATAATCATTTACTACATTAGTACTACATTGGTAATTTCGCCATAGGCTTCATAGGTTCTAAGTAATTCCCTTCGACATGCACATTGATTGTTTGGCTTCGTTTCCCGGCGTGTATTATTATCGATAACTTTATCGCTTGCCATTTCCGCAAACTCTTTGAGCATTCGCATGCCCAGCGCGTCGCTCCAGAGGCTGTTTGCCATATTTGCCAACGCCCAACGACCGCTGCATTAAAGCGCGATGTTATCTATCTATATATATGTATATGCAAATATGCATATATATATATATATATTATATGCTATATTGTTCCGTCATATTTCATCGGCAATTGCCGCGATCGCCCTGCTGACAGGAGAGTTGACAGCCAACAGCCAACAGGCGACGTCGTTGCCGCTGCCAGGCGCCAATTGCATTAAAATATTCGCAGCAGCTAAGGGAGCTGCGGGAGGCGACCTGAGGAGGCGACAGCTAGGTAGAGAGAGAGAGAGAGAGAGAAAGAGAGCTGTTGGGGAAGCGGGGCATTTGGATTGTTAAATATTGATGATAATACGAGTAGAATATATCGCGGAGACCCCAGCGAGCCGATTAATTGCCGGCAACTGCGCATGCATAGATAAATATTAATGTGAATAGAGTCGATTCCACCCCGACGAGCGAAACACTCATACACACTCACTCGTTGTTTGTAACGAATGAGGCAAAGCCCAAACGAATTGCGCAGCGATAAATTACAAAGGAATTCGTAACGCCCAACGGTCAAAAAAAAATTGAGGCGTAACGAGGCGCTAAGTTAAACCCAGTTAAACCCAGCAAGTACCGTAAACTCGATTATAATCGGCAATAAGAATCTATCTATATTACTTGCTGTCTCCATGTGTATGTGGGGATTTGCATTGATTTATTTTGAATAGTTCGCCTAAAGTGTATATGTCTTATATGGGAAAAGA